TTGGGTTGGAGGCTTTGCTTAAACCCCAAACCCCTAAACCCTCAAGTTGAACTCCCTAGTCCGTAGCATAAGATCTCGGGCTGACGGCTCCTTTGGGCTTTAGGGCTCAGGGTTTCAGGGCTTGGCATTCGGCGAGATACCCGATATTTACCTCAGGCCCGATCCAAATGTCCAAAAAACCCTGAGAATGCTTTGCAAGTGGATATATACAAAAGCTCACGAGAATTCATGAAAGGCTCTTGGAGTCAAGGTGTACTGGGGCCTCCTCCATTAGATCACAAAACGTTCCATCAATTTTATTGCGCCAGGTGAAAGGCAAACTCCAGAGAAGCCAAACTCTAAGCTGCTGCCGACCCCAAACCAAAAGACCACAGAATATAGCAGCCTAAATAATTAGGAAGGAATTTGTGGGTATAAGGACTTTAATTACTCTTTATTGTCCTGAAATCTACAATCTCATCTAATCTACCGAGACCAGGACCGAAACGAGCATGTGTGCTGACATGGCTTTGACCTTTATGTACAGAACCCCTGCATTCCGCAGCTGGCCTCGTATAGATTGCATATAGGCTGCCTCAGGAGGTGCTTTTGGACTTGCTGTCTTGGGGCTTTGGGGTACCAGAACCTGAACCCTAAACCCCCCAAAACCCTACACCCCGATGATGATGATGATGATGATGATGATGATGACTGTTAAAGTATTAGCATTATGATTAGTAAATTATTGGTAATATGATCATTACCCCTAAACCCTGAAGGAGGGGGTTTGCGACCCTGAAGCATCAGGACTACTCAAAGGGTCATGGGACTTCATAACCAGAGGTCTACAATTAAGGTAACTATACTTATAGACACTTATAACCCCAATTAAGGTACCTATAACCCTACGCACTAAGTCCCATGATCCTCCAAGTAAGACATGTGAAAGTGAAGCGACCCTTGGCGACGTCAGACGACCCCTTCTCTTAGCTGCCTAGTACATAAGCCAAAAAGCATAAACTGTCAGTTTTTTTGAAGTTAGGACTTATGGAGCAGGGTTCGGGGTTGAAAGACTATAGGGTTTAGGGTCTACTATAAATACCAAAGGACAGTTTGCAAACTTATAAGCTACCGGACTACTGGGAGAGCGGCTAGATTTAAGGACCTAATCAGGCTGCAAGCGTTTGGACCTCCGACACTGTGCGGTGCAGTATTCTCCTGCTTCATGAATTAGGACAGGGTTAGTTTTGGGGTGCATTCAATGCTATATCTGAAAAGGAGCAGTATAGGGCCTGTAAGGAGTACTTGTTCGGACCCTGTAGTGTTCTGCACAATCGAAGACAGGGCAAAGACCATTCCACCGGCCCCCAAACCTTAAAACCTTCAGGGGGCCTCTGTATATCCTAAGCCGCGGAACCCAGATGCAACATCTGAGCTCTCATGAGAGCCAAAATCCTAGGTGCAAACCCTATATCCTAAACCCTGAACCGTCACACCCAAGGTTTAGCACAAAGCCCCAAACTCGTCAGCCCCAAATCGTGGCATTTTTAGCCGCGCGGCATGATAAACTCCGCAAACATCGTCTTAGACTCCGTGTCCTTCAGGGTTCAGGGTTAAAGGGTTTAGGTTTAGGATTTGGGGTTCAGGGTTAAGGGTTTGGGGTTTAGGTTTAGGATTTGGGGTTCTGGGCTTAGGGTTTCGGGTTAAGTGTCGTCTGAGACTCCGTGTCCTTCAAGGACAGCAGGGGTGGCTTTCGGCTTCGATGCGCGTGAGAAAGCTTTACTAAGAAGGCTGGGGGTCTCGAGGCTGAAACACGCTTTTAGGGGTTGTTATAGAGGGTTTAGCCATTAGAGGGTTTAGGGTTGAGGTTTGGGGTACATAGGGCTTGGGGTTTAGGTTTTCGGCTCGAAGCCTTGCAATACATATATATATATATATATATATATATACATATATATACATATACATATACATATATATATATATATATGCTTACATATGTTTACGGCGCAAGGTTGAATAGAGGTAACCGAATGATTAGACTATGTTGGTAGAGCTTCCTGCTATAGACATATCCGGGAACCCTTACAGGGTCTAGCTGGACTTGCCTTCATTTTGAACTTGGGAATAATTATGCCACCTCGGTTGCTTGCACCTGCAGGTGTCCATTGCAAACGGCAATGGTCAACGTGAATTCTGAAGATTGGAACCGTGCTAGAATATCAAACGCTTGGCGACTTTCCGATGACCCGTTGCCCTACACCACCAAAACATACAGCGGTAATCACCGGGCGGAAAATGGAATTCCATCTTGAAAGCTGCAGGGATCGTGTACGGTATGAGGTCTGAAAACTCACGGTTTGGGGTTTAGGGCCGAGGGTTGAGGGTTTAGGATGGTTTAGGGTTGCGGGTTTAGGTTTGGCGCTACAAGGCACCTTGTGTATCGATCTTGGGGTCATACGCCGCCGACGAGTTCCCCCAAAAATCTAAGGACTCATATGTTAAGGCTTTTGGGCCCAAAGATGATACTATATACGGCTTTTCGGGGCTTTTCATCCCTAGGGTTCGTAAACCCACTCTAACACCCTGAAACCTTACTCGCCGGGTCCGGGGACTTGGTGACTAGTCCTTTTTCAGACTGTTAAGTATCATAATCACAAATAGGACCCCTTTTCGCACACTTATAAGTCTAGTTGTTGCCTACTTACTGTCCCCCGACCCTCCAAGTAGACCCAGAAACCTAAACCCTTTCTGCACCTTTCTGGGGACAGTGCTGCTCGGCAGAGATGGCAGAACGGCACTTGCTGGCCAAAGCCTAAAGAAAGGGGACGCAAGCCCAAGGGCACACCACCACCTTAGGCAAGGCAAGCCGGAGGGGCTAGAAACTGAGAGCATAGCTACAGGGACTCCCCGCATCGCGCAGGTCGCCTCATTGATGTCACCAGCCAGCGAAAGAACACAACCTGAGAGCGCAAGCACAGTCTGCGTACGGCATGAGCAAACCACGTTCGTAGTTCTCCACAACGACGAAGCCCGAGCTGCAGAAAAGAACCATATGACAGGTAGAAAACCATAGGCAGACGTCAAAAGCAACGTGTCCAATAAGGTGCAACCGCTGCAACGTCCTCGGGGTAGCCCAGCTCAAGCGTCTCCGACGCGCCCGATTCGAACAACAAAGTAGCGAGAGCCCACATAGAGAGGTGTGCAGGACGCCAAGATGCCGCCACCCGCTGATGGAGGAAGGGAGACTTTGCTTCCGGAAGTACTCTGACGAAGTGTAGCCAAAATCCAACTGCCAACCGGCAAAGACATGTGCAGGCGGCCTGGGCTGCGGCACACTGCTGCACATCATGAACAAAGCGTACCTGACACCATTTGAGGCCAAACCCCCGTCGTACAATCATACCACCCTGCATGTAGACCAACTGCTTGGCCAGGCAGACCCGCTGCCGCTGAACACGTGGGAGGCCCACCTCGAGAAAGACGGAGAAAGCATACCAAAACATCCAGCAGCGCCGCCCACCAGGCAGCCAAAACAGAGCTCCCGGTCATTCCAGGAATCCAACCATGGCAGACCCACACACCCGGACCTCGGCCTGCACCGCCTCACCGCTGGTAGGTGTCTCGGGCCAGAGGCTGAAACCTAAACTCACTCACTCACGCACGTAAACGGGTCCGAAGTCCAGAACGCAGGCATGCAAATCCCCAAAAATGCAGCTGCTGTAGCTACACAGGGCAAGACTTAACAAAATTCAACCAAAGAAACGAGGGAGCGAGGGAACCAAGCTGCGACCTCAAAGCAAGGCGGAGGGCGATCTATAGATCGCTGAAGGCCTGAACGTGAGCTCAACAGTGGGATTGCGAGAATCCAAACCGGCGCTCAAACAATGCAGAGCCTTACTATACAAGGATTCGTGGAAAGCACAAAAGAAACTGCCCGTACAAGTGTTCACTTGGTGAAACTTGGCAGCAGGCATGAGTTCTCTCCATAGACGAATCCCTTGAGAAGAGAGAGTTTGGGGGAAAAAGATTCCCGCTCCTCTGTTGACATGCTGACACAACATTCTGAATGTTACTGTAGCTTCGAGTAACCGCCATAAGCGTCTCGGGGGTTCACGACTGACAGGGTCCTCGGCCGCGTCCAGACATTGGCGCAGCGGTGCGAACCCTCGTCTAGCCTTCCAGCACCAGGGGGCAGACCGTTGCAAAGTGGCCCAGAAGCCCCAAAAGCAGTTCCACGCCACAGGGAGTCGCCAGACAACCTTCCGATGGAGCATACCCCGCCAAAGCGGAGAGGGAACTGACCAGTCTGGACGGCCTTCAAGGCCTTGGGAAACGCCAGAGAAGGAATCAGAGGGTACGTTGCACACATGGTCGCCGTCCTCAATGGCAAACCAGTGAAGAGTCCCTTCCAGTTGACTGACGACCGGCGTTAGAGCTGGAGCACCCGGCCCGCGAGCTGAGACATCCGTAGTGTCCGCCGGCAGAACATCGGCAAGTGGTGCCGGATCTTCCGGCCACGAATAGAGCTCATGTGTCCCCACTATCGCCAGTCGCTCTTGACACAGGTCATCTTCCGTGCATGGGATCTCGGCCAGGGAAGCCGCTCTCTGAGCCGGTGTGGCATTAATAGGCCCAGGGAGGCGCGTAGCAGGTAAGCCTCGGTGGCCCCTAGCACCAGATCGCTTCGTCCCTGTACCATAGACGTAGGCTTGCCCGACAGTGACACGAAGTCCGTGCATGCACGCTGGAGTCACCTTCAAGTGATATTTTAACCTGTCGGTCGAGTGGTGGTCGCAATGACACCATAGGCAAACTGTCCCATTCGTATACCGAGTCAGGCTATTGACAACGGAATGCTTGCGGTGGACATGCGCGGCAAGGGCATGCAGGCTGGGGAAGCTGAGGCCGCAAAGTCCACAAACTCTGGGCTGCGGCACGCCAAGAACCTGAACGACCTTGGGAACCACGACATCCCGCCACAGTGCATGAAGCGCTCGATACGCTGAACCATACCGGCTGAGGTGCCTACAGACACTCTGGAGTTTGACGGCATGCTGGGCGATGTACTGGCGAGTGACATGCGTCGGGGATAGGTGGCCAACCAGCCCAGATGCGACTTGCTGGCACGCGTCAACAAGAAGGGAGCACCATGGCGTGGCCCTATCCCAGGCTGCTGCAAAAAGCTCACCCACTCGTGGCGGGGCGCGTGTAACTAACTGAACCACCAGCCGGGTTCTGGCGATGGCACACGCGTCACCAGGGGACGATAACCCCATGAGCAGAACCAACAAGGGATTGGTCAACACATGTCCAAATTTCCATGAGCCAATCAATTGTCTCGCCGCCCTTTCGAAGAAACCGGTAAGTGGGCTGACTGCCCGTTCAGAGACGGCAAGCGACGTGCAGAGGGTAGCATAGGCCGCTGGGAGCACCCGGCCGGCAAGCCACGCTTGCTTAAGTCGCCACGGCAGTGACTGGCAGGCTAGCAGACTCTTCGCATGAGACCATGCGGAGTGGCCTCGTTGTGCTGCCAATTCCATATCCCGCCGGCCATTATCCCTGGGAGTTTGAACCACCCCGAGATACCGGTATTCCGGGGCTAACCGGACAGCATGACCGGAAGGCAAACGTAGTAGAGAAGGCGGAGCCAGCAGCTCGCCACGGACTATTTTAGCCTCCGGACCTCGTACATCGACCAGGATCTCGGTCTTCCCAGCAGCCAGGTTTACTCGGAAGCGCAGAACGTCGAGGGTCGCAAGCACGATGGTAGCGAGCCGAGGCAGTTGGCAAAGGAGTTGGCGAGGCGAGTCAAAATCCGCTAAAATGGCAAGATCGTCTGCCCAGCCTAATGGAAGCACCTCATCAGAAGCTCCGACAAAACTGCCCGCTGCCTGAAGAGAGATGCCTTCCTGGAGGCACGTTGCCTGAATATGCCGGAGTGCGACAGAGAACAACGCTCCGAAGAGAATGTCTGCTAACCCATCCCCTGGTCGGGAGCCTCGAGTTGCGATGAAGGAAGAGGCGGAGCCAGCCAAGCTCCATCTGGAGAAAGCTACACAGTCCTGTAGTAACTCGCGCTCCTCCCTAACCATCCCTATCTGCTCTAACGCCCCTTTAGAGAGAAGACCGTCAACTAGTTGGGTAAGATGTCGGAGGTCGGGGCGACTAGCATCTTCACTGGGCGTGAGGGCAGCATCACCACAGAAGATAAGCTGACGACTCACTTCATAATATGCAGCCTGAATATCAACAAACAGCACCGCAGTACTGCGCTGTAGTTGGGTGCTCAGGTCAATGGCTGCCCTGTAGGCCGCTACGGCAAAACTCACTGGCACGCCCGGTTTCCCTCCAAGCTGGGTGTCAGCATAACCCTGCAGCACGTTCTTGCCGATTGTCCGCCGGAGGTGGCTGTGCCAAATTTTTGCCACCCCATTGAGAAGGGCAATAGCGCGATAGTTGGCCGGGATGGCGGCCGGGCCTTTTTTGTAAAGTGCAAAGTATAGTGCTTCTTTGAACCCAAACGGTTCATGGCCACTCAACGCTATCTTTGTGTTAACCGCCCAGACCCAGCGTCCCGCCTGAGCCGGGAAGTGGTGCCATATTGCATTAGGTACCCCATCGGGTCCTGGGGCCTTATTGGGCGCTTGACGGCGGCAGCTGTCCTCCGCCTGAAGGAGGGAAGGGACCGCCTGTGTGCAGGGGAGGGCATCCCTGCGCAGCCAGGACCTGGTTGCGGCACCAACCTGTGCAGTGTCCGTGCGGATTCCGGCCTCTTGGAGCCGAAATTGTTCTTCGAGAGCCTCGTCTATGTCGTACCCTCCAGCCGCATAGACCTGCCTGCGTTCAGCAGCTCTCCTAGAAGCCCATTTGAGGTGATTGATGGACTCCATGGGACGACCATGGGCGTGCCAATGCTGAAGGGCTGCAGTGGTCAATGCCAGGAAGTGCGCCTGTTTGTCCTTCCTGGCCAACCCATGAACATAATCCTGGGTCTTAGCTTCTTGAAAAGCAAGGGCCGCCGTATAGTGGCGAGCCATGCGCAGATCGGCCAAATGCTGGAGGCGGATCGACCGAGGGCGTCGGCGCCAACGGGCTATCGCCCAGCGGCATGTATGCTGCCGATGCAGTTTCCGGGAATGTCGAAGCTGACACCGCCAGTCGCGGAGCTGATACAAGCAACGCACGGTCTCAGGGGCCAAGTACGGCTGACGGACCTTAAGGACCCTGGAACTAGCGTGTTGCTGTGCAAACTTCCGATAGGCATCTTGCAAGGTGAACACCGCTTCACCACTGCTGATGGCCGTCTCATGGGGAGATGGGAGTTGCTCCCAAAAGTGTCGCCCTAACTCTTCAACAAAAGGTCCTCCCAGCACCGCCCGACGACGAGCTGTGCGCCCCACAGGGCTTGGCCGAAACAGGGTAGAGCGAGACCTTAGAGCAACATGATCCCTGTAGGAATTGACTATGTCGAAATCCCAGGCTTGGGCAGTGCTATGGTGCTGCCAATCCCCCGTACTGAAAAGCAAATGATCCAAACGCTTGCGTTTACCGCCCGTATGTTCCCAGGACCACCCCTGTCCGGCTTGGTATTCCGGGAAAGTAGCGGGGGAGTCTAACCCGTTAACAGTGACGAACTCAAAAAGGAACTCATCGTTGGAGGTTGGCGGGTGTGCAGCAATGAGTGAGCCAATACATTGCTCTTCCGCGTCCTGAGCGCAGAAATCAGCATTGGCATCGATGCCGAGAAGTCGAGGGCGAAGTCGAGGCGCTTGGTGCAGTGCTTGGTGCAACTCGCTCCAAAAGCCTTTAGCCTCATGCAGGGGGCGATCCTGATGGGGTGCGTGAGCAGAGAAAATGGTGAGAGGAAGCCTCTCATCAACGCAGGTGATGACAAGAAGACGCGGCGTTGCCTTCAAGATCTTGCACGAGGCCAAGGAGAGTGGTGGACTAACTATGTCAGGTCGAACCCAAATTTCACAACCATACTGGCCACGATCAGCGCCGGAGCGCCAGGAGAGCCATCCGCCGGTAGCCCACCGACCCGCGGGTGCCCGGGTCTCCTGAAGACACACTATGTCTGCGTGCATATCGAGCAGTTGCCTATAAAGGTACTGGCGACGGGCACCGTGACCAGAGGGGTTGAAAACACTCTGACGCGGGTCTTTGATAGACTGTATATTGGCAGTAAGAAGGTGTAGGGGCCCGAGAGGCCGGTTGGCGGCGCACGTGCTTGCCTGCTTTTTATCCTCACTGGGGACTGGTGGCAGCCAGTCAGTCTGCCCCGTAGTAATTGAGAAAACCCCTCTCCCTTCGCGAAGCCGACTCTGGGGTATAACCCATAGCCATGGGAAATGGTCAAAGTCCAAGTCCGCCTGGAGACGAAAGTGCGGGTGTGAGACCCAGAGGTCGCAATCACCGGTGACAGCCACGCCAGCGACTGCATCCGCGAGTGTGTTGACAAGGACTCCGACATGGCTGTGGACATGGCGGAAGTGCGTAGTGACGCGCGCCTGCACTACCTGCCAGGCTAGGCGGGTTCTTTGTGCAGGCGCGGTCGCCGCTGATGCTTGTCCTGCCGCTACCTGGAGGGCAGAGGAATTATCCACCACTATAGTGATTTGTGTAGGCCTGTGCCGCATGCGTAGTTGCCAAAGATCGAGCATGGCGGCACACCAGTGGCCTGCTGCTTGCAAAGCCGCCAATTCACTATGGAAAGAGCGCAGCCCAGGGTGCGTGCTGCGGGACTCGCCAGGCAACCAAGGGGTAACTGGTAGTGTAGCTGCGGCCCAGCCGAGACGAAACCACTTATGACGAAACAGACCCCAGACGAGAAAGGCCCAGGCCCCCGGGCCTTCGCCACTGCCATCTGTGGCAATGAGAAGGCTATCTGGCGGCCCGCCTTCCCATGCCGGATACGCTTGCCAAGCAGTATGGTAGGCGGAAGAGAGACAGCCGGGTAACAAGTCTCCTAAGCCTTGAGACCACCAACCTTGGTGCAGCTGTGCCTGAAGCTGGCACGTCGGCTCGACATCCAGTTCCCAGGTCCCTTTGGAGACCTCATGCCATTGCAGAGGGGCCCCCCAAGCAGCGAGGTAGCACGCCAGGATGCAAAGGAGCCCAGTGGCCTCCCTGCCATTCAGAGAGCGGCCTCGCCACCACGGGACAGCAAGGAGGCCACAACACACAAGTGAGGGCAAGCCACCGGGGTTAGAGCGGGCCGAGTTGCTTGTAGCAGTCGGCAGGCCAGACTCGCGAGGAACCTGGCTTCCTGAAAGTGGGGATGCGGCGGTCATGGTAGACGTGGGAGACATATGGATGATGTCAGCCGAGTCCCAGACTTGATCCCAGGGCCACCAGCCCTCCGGCTCCCCGGACATAGCCGGTAACAAAGCCCCTCGCTCGGGGTGCCACTGTTGACCCGACTGTGCCCGCAGAATCCTATGTATTGTATCAGCCCGCCGCCACAGGATGATCCAGCCCCCACCAGCAATCTCGAGGCGATCACTCCAGAAGCCGTAGCGGACGGCGCTGCGGAGGGAGGAGAAGGTACGGTAGAATGGGAAAGCGAGTGACGGTGCCCAGCCATCCTGAATAATGCGCAGGCAGCTGCCATCCTGGAGGTGGATAGGTGGGGAAGCCGGTCCCACCACCGACAATTCGGGCGCATTGCCCTGGAATCTGTAAACACTCCCAAACAGCGGCTGAAGGAGCTGGCGTAAAGCCGGGGCGGTTAGTGGGGTTGGCACTAGCAGTGCGCGCGGCGCTGGTGCACCGACTATCAGAATTGTGGCCCACCCTCTAATACCCAGCCCCGGAACCCAATGGCTGTCAATAGAAAGCGGCGCTGGCCGAACCGGGGCGAGGGTAACATCAAGAGAATTCCAGCCTGTTGCATAGAGTGCTGTGGCTGCGTCCAGAAAGGGCCCCAGCCTCCCATGCGCAGGACACCAGAGGCAGTGTCGTGGCTGCCCGGTATCTCGAGGGGGAGCTTCCCTCATCGCTTGTGCCGAGTAAGCGTCAGCGAAAAGCAACAGGAAAGCCAGATAGCTTCTCCAACCGAGTGCCCTGGACAGAACAACTCCCCAGAACAACACAGAGGGCCAGCGAGAGACCGGGACCGCAGCTGAAACCTCGGTGTCCGGAAAGTGTACTATATCCCCGTTACGGAGTTCAGCCCATGGTTTGTCTTGGGGTTGCCCCAGTAGATAGCATGGATCCGTATCTCTATCAAGAAGGATCTGGCAGGTAGCCGCGTTAGCAAGCGCGTGAACAGTATGGCACGTGCCCAGAAGGCGATCGCCCCTAAGGGTCTCAATAATAATGTTGCGAAGGTCCCCATCTGACGCCCGAAGACAAAGGTGTGGCACATCATCATACGCCCAAGGCACCGGGCTCCACTGACCAGGGTACCGAACCTGAAAATCCCCTTGAAAAGTGTGGAAATGTGAATCCCAGATTGCTGGAGCCGGCACGCGTGTACGTATCGGGCGCTGCCCTGGTCTCCATAGGACCAGAGGAAGGTCCACTTCACTCCTAAAGTCCAGGGCCCAGAGAGCCATGTGTCGAACGCTCGCAGAGGAGGCACTCGGTTCATCAGCACGAAAAACCGGAACCTCTAACGCACTGGCATCGAAGTCAGTGGGAAAGGCCAGAACCAGATCCCCATCCCTCCAACGCACGGCTTCGTGGGCGCTAGTGACTGGACCCACCGCCGCAGGCGGACCTCTGAGAGAGAAGAGTGGGCCTGGCGACATACCTCGTATGAAATCCAACAACCAGGCCATATCGGCACGATTAGGGATCAGCACCGGCATTTGCCATTCAACTGAGAGAACGACCAGGCATGCCATGGCGGGTGATGGGGCCACGGGGACAAACACCAATTGGTCGGGCGAGGGCGACGGCCACACCGGAACTATTTCGTGCGACCAAACCGGCTCAGAGCCCGTCAAGGCCATCCTGACTTCTTCCACAGTGTCGTTTTGTCGCATGACAACAACAGGATCGCCCCTCACCCCGAAGGGGGACAGTAGCCTACAGTTGAAAGCGCCTGGGATGGATTCATGCAGGGCACGGTCCTCAGGGGGAAGTCGCCAAGGAAATTTGCCCACCCGCACTGAGGAATCAGTAAGTGCCTCGGGGGGCACAAACATGGCAGCTGCAGGCCGTCGAGACAGGCTAAAAACCAGCAACCATAGTACTATGCGCGCCGGCATTCGCGCGCAGACAGCCGCTGCTGCCGCACTAAGCGGAGTAAGGGATGGCGCATAGGAAGGAATAAGAGTGTCACCGTCACGGAGAATCACTTCCCCCATGCCGCGTCGGAGGCGGTGTTCCACCTGCCACCCAGAGGGTAAACAGTCCTCGCCCCTGGTGCGCTCAAGAAGAAGGCATTCTACTGGCTCGTCACTAAAAGGACGGTGCTGGAGAACATGTGCTGCTCCTGGTGGCGCCTGCTGCACAAAATGACAAGCGCCATCCGCGTGGTACTGAGCGGGGACCCATCGGTCATTACCGGGCATGCACCGAGGACGCACGAACTGAAGGCTGCCCGGGAGCCACCGGGACCTTGAGTGCACCCAATGTCGTTCACACTGAAAAAGTGGGTCTCCATGCGGATGCCAAACATAGACCCAACCCCCGTGCTTCACGCTGAAAGAAGCATGCCAGCATGTGAGATGAGGCTACCAGTTGAGAGAACGATGTTGCGCCAGAGGAGGTTCGGGCACATGGGGATGGTTATGGTCATCATGCCAGCCGAAGACATCGCCATCCCGCAACCCCATCGGTAGACTCTCAAAATCCCTACACCGAGAAAGGGAGGGCGGAAGCACAAGACGATTCTGCCATGGCCTCCACAGGGCCAAATGGGCTCGCAACTCCCGGAGCGAGAAGTGACGCGGTAGAAGCAAGGCAAAGTGACGCCCGCACACTGAAACCACTACTGTCGCAAGATCAGTGAGGCCCCCAGGGACGATTGTCATAGGTTGGCGCCCAATGGTAGGGCCAAGCAGCACATGACCTCTACTCCAACGGCCACAGAATTCAGCCACCAGGCCGTCCAACGTAGTTCCCGCGACCTCACGCGTAAAGTACGCCGGGAAAGCTCCGCTGTGGAAGGGAGAGAGGATATGATAGTGGCCTTGACCACTTGACAGGACCTCCAACATAGGGTGTGGGTGCTCAGGGCGCCAGGCATTAGCTCGAGGGCTTAAGTCATCGTCTGAGTCAGCAGACGAGTGTGCGGAGCTGGGAGTTCGGCTCCGACCACGACGGACAGCCTCAGCAGTGGGAAGACCTCCGACCAGAAGACCGAAGAGGGACGGCTGACGGGCTGCGATCAGCAGAGCAATCGAGAGGCCGACCGAGGCGTCTAGCCCCCAGCGTCGCCCACGATTCCAAACAGAGAGCCAACGCTGCTCATAGACATATGAGTCCAGTACAACATCACCGTCCCGGAGAACAAGGGGTGCAATGGTGTCTTCAGGTGTAGCGCCGAGTACAGCCATGTACTCCGGCAAGGAATGTAATTCTTCCGCAAGTTCAGAACGGCTAGTACGGGCAGTGAAGGCAAGCGCCACTACCCCTTCGCGGCTTTCATGTATAATATGCGCTCTTCCCGGACTGGTGGACGCTTGCATTAAGTGCACGCAATTTCCCGGGTGCCATGGAATAGGGACCCACGAACCTGGCCAGCGGCTCCTGAAAGAGCCCTCAAACGTCCTGTCCTCAGGTGTCCAAAATGCACCGCCATCAACCCGGGTAAAAATCGGACCCCCATGAACCGGCGACCAGACACCAACTAAGTCAGTCTCAGCAACCACAAAGGGGGCGGTCCACCGCACCTGAGAAACGAGACTGAGAGGCATCTGCGGAGCAAAAGCATTAACATCCTTCGTACCCGTGAATACTTCTAGAACATCCGCAGTGCGAAGGTTCAGTTCCCAGGTGCGAGGGTTCGGCAGGGAAGAGCGAACAGCGGGGGAGACTCCCAAATGCATGATGGGCCAGCCCGACAGGTGGCGTAGTGTCCGCAGAAGGCAGTCAAAGGTACAACGGCCGGGCACCAAGAATGCTCTTGCAGTATCCGAGTGGCACGCTACGATACAAACACACCTGGGGTCGGCTCCGATATCAGGTACCAGAACTAGACGGTCACGAAAGAGCCCCGGCCAGACTGGGACAACATCCCGGATCCAGTCGCCATGCACAGCTTGATAGTGGCCGAGCAACGCAGGGTAAACAGTACGCGTAGCTATCTCATGCGGACCTTGCATGCCTGTCAGAGGACACAAAAGGACACACCGCAGCCGCGGCTGACTGACAATCCCCTCAAATGTCCTGTCAAACCTTGCGTCTCGCCACGCGAAGGAGCCCACTTCGACCGTGTCACGACGTGTCGGCCTGAAAGTGTCCGTCCACTGGAGCATTGCCTGGACCGCAGGAAGGAAAACCAGAAGGCGCATAGGGACGTATCTGAAAGACAGTCCCGCAAGTATCCACATTGGCAACACAGCAGCCCCACTTGTGACAACTGGTGTCGGAGGCGGCGGGCCAAACGGACCTGAGTCGAGAAGGAGGCAGTCACCATCTCGAAGGTGCACCGGCCGTTCGACATTACGTCGAAGAGGATACGGTTCGCGCAGTCGGCCAAAACGACCACCTAAGGTCAACGCCCGAGTAGGACCAACCGGGAGCGTAGCTGGAAGGCAAACCGGGTGAAGCCCTCGATGGGTGCGAAGCACAACGGAAGCCAGTGCCGAATCGGCTGCTGCGGGAATCAGATGAACCGCCTCTGTATCGGGCTGCGGTTGGACAGGGAGTATCTGCTGCCAGCCACGGCGGCCAGAGAAATCTTGGAGCAGAAACCGAAATTCTTGCCCGGATCCAACAAGGGGGGTGACCACGCTACATTGGTCAGAAACTGTAAAGGGATTATGGATAGTCAGCGGACACCCCGCCGGCAGAAAAGGTCGGTTTCGGTTGCTGCGGTCGTCGACCTCACACATGAAAGCAATAACACGTCCTTGCAAAGTGGGAATGGACGCATGATCGAAGGTTGGCGCAACAGCGGGCCATTGGCCAACAACCGGCGTACCAGTGCGCGCAGCGTCCTCATCACTCGGGCGGAGTAGATGGGTGTCCTCACCTCCTGTCCCCACAAGTTCGGCTGCCGGCGTAGGGGCCGTAACCTCTGCAAGGTCTGGTGAGCTAGGCTGGGAGGGCTCCGATGGGGCACTATCTTCGCCGTCGCCACGAACAAGAGTGATGGCAGAGAGAACCCCTAGCACGAAACCGGACTGCCCTAGGAACCTCCCAAGAAGAAAGACGCCCCATTGCGCAACGGGATGTACAGTTCTAGCCGTCGACTTGTCCTTATTGGTTAACTCCTCAGGACCATGAAACCATGGTGCGGCACCCACCTCCGCGGGCTCGCTCCCTGGGAGAACGCCCGCAACCTCAAGTCGTGAGGTAAGCATCGTGAGCTGATGACTGATTTCATTGACCTGCCGAACGACACTAGGCGGGGCGGAGTGGGGCTCCTTAGTGGGCCAACGCGTTGGAGCCGTGCGGGACGGACCAGCAGCCTCAGCAGGTGGTGGAGGTGACTGACTCATACCTGATGGCAGCACTTGGAGGCAGGTCTCGCCAGCTAGAGGAAGTTCCCCTCCTGCACCACGGCACAGATCATAATCAAAATGAAAGGAAGCCGGAGCATCCGATGGCGCATCCCAAGAGGAGAAACCCGCAGCAGGAACCGGAAGATTACGCACCAAGGTAATAATGGTCCCGTGGCCTGGTGCTGGCAACTGAGACCCGAAGGGAATAACCCGGCCCCCATGCCAAATACCGAACTGTCCCTGCGAGAAGAACGGCAAGCCAAACTCCTCAGCAGCTGTTTGTCCCACATGCTGCCAATCGAAGACCGCTCTGGGTACGCTCATGACAGCAGCTCGACCTCGATAATGCAAAAGCCAAAATATCGTGGATGTGGTCGAGCCGGACGGCACATGCAAGAGGTGCGCAACCCCGTGGACAATCTGAGGGCTCGTCCAGACGAAATCACCTGTGGCAGTAACGCCCCTAGCAGTATTGGCCACATAAGTGGCCATAACACCTGGGTCGGGAGTAGAAACATACGGAACAACCGTGGGAGCTGCTAGGGTGTAGGTCCAGATCCGGCAGATAGTAGGCGCCGGATCGCGAGGAAGTCCCCACGCAGGGGGATGCCCCTGATGCTGGCCGGAAGAAGTGCGCAAGATAAGATCCTGCTGCATTGCCCTTACAGGATGGACGTGGAGCGATCCCAACAGAACCCCTATCAGCAAGGAGCTGCGCATGGAGCTAGCCCTAGAAAAGGAGCCAATCGCAATTTCAGTTAGAACCAACCCTCCAGCCGAGAGGTGCCCTAAGACCCGTGAAAAGGGGTAAGTGATAGCTGCTCGGACCCCAGCAGGAAGCCTCTGCATCGCACCTGCCTCTGGGCCAAAAGAGAGGCCTTGGGCTTGACCAAGTGAGTTCAGGGTAAGCACACGTCTACCGTCCGGCTCATACCATGGAGCAACAGGGCGCAGAAGCTCCCTCGACATGCCGTCCCTAACAATCCACCAGGTAGGATCCCCAATCGGGCACGATACAACATCCAGGACAGTAGGTTGCGTGTCAAACGCAACATGCAGACCGCAGGAGTCCGGACGGTGTCCTGCTTCCCAGAGCAAACTATTAAACCCGGACAGCGGCCCGCCCTTGGGGTAATCAAAAATGGCAGGCCCTTGAAAGGGTGTCCAAATGTGGAAGCGAATCGTGTCAGTCGGTGCGTTAGCCTGACAATATCCCCAAAGGGAGGCAGGCATGACACCCAAGTGTGTGGTTTGGCAGGATAGCTCATAGCACCATGCCACGGCCACTGGCGGGGAACTGTCATATCGAGGGAATACCTGCGGTTCTGGGCATTCATCGTCAGTATCTGAGGCCGCACCCAACACCGGCACCGGGCCCTGAAGAAGAAAAGGGAGGAGGAACCACCATCCTAGGTAAGATCGAGTCGTCAGGCTGCGTCCAACGGCAGGACTGACCACACTGGCAAGTGCTGCAACTGACGGCTGGTTCAGAACCCCATTGATGCGTGCCTGGAGGCCGCGTGTGGCGTCGCAGGCGAAGGCGTCATGGCCTTCTTGGAAAAGGTGCCCACATTCCCCAGCCAGAGAGGACACCTCACCAGGCCATTTCCAAACAGCCAACTGTCCGTGGATCTCAACACCTGGTAGGTCCCACGTGGTGAGCCCTCCAATTGACATAACTTCGGGCCATTCCACCGACAGCGTGCAAGCAGCTCTCACCCATTCTCCGACTCGGATGGCCCACGGAAAATGGCCTTCGCTGCAAGGAACTCCGCAACTAACCCCAAAATGAGGGCATTCCAGCAGTCGCATGGGACCTGACGAGAAATGTCCCGGTACTGCAACGCAGCCCTTAGCTGGACGACGTTTAACTAGTGCTTTCGTTGGTGCCGGTCGCGCATGAGCTGGCCAGTGCAGAGGGAAAGTTTGAACTCCCTGTTCAACCCGGGAACTCGGAAGAACAGGCTCCTGGAAAGCTTCCGGCTGTAGCGCGGCAAGGGCTAGCTTCCTAGGGGCTTGCTGCTGGGAGAGGCGCCATCCTGCATCAGACAAGCGACAGAAGTCCAATCCAAGCTGAAAGAAAACGAAGGGATAACCTGAGCTAACTTGTGCCGCCGAAAGCGCAAAGTGCCGCAAAATGGTTGGCTGTTGGTCTAAGACCGCGTTCCAAAAGGACGACCCACGAATGCTTGACAAAGGAAGCTCCTCAGAGACTGGGGCAGACACAGTGAGGACAATCGGGAGGACCCCGCAATCCAAAACATCAGTGAGCAGAACCGTGAGCGTGCTGTGCGTGCGCTCAATAAGACAGAACAAGTCGACCGCCGGCGCAGAAAGAGGCAGTCGAATGAGGCAACTTGTCCCACAACGATGCTCACCGTACCAAGACTGCAGAGCTGACTCAAGACGGTACTTAGTGAATCCTTTAGGGACTTCAACCAGAAGCAGGCCTTGGTCGGCAGACGTGATAAACACCTCAGTGTGCGGAACAAGCCAACTGGTCGCTGAAAACGTGGGCATCGGTACAGACGAAGCCCCAACGTCTGGCAGGTTAATCTTATCATCACTATGCGCCACGACTACATCTCCATGTCGCAATGGGTGAGGCGCCCCTTCATCAAGGCGAAAGCTTCCTCCCGGGAAAAGCAGTGTCAGCGCCTGCAGGATGGAGGGCCCAGGGGTGGAGCGGACCACATCCAGACAGATCAAGGGTCCGCCGGCGTCAACAAGCACAGTAACATACTGCAAACTACGCGCTGGGGAGATGAATCGGACACATCGATCAAATCCAGAAGGTTGAACCAAGATCGGGAAACCCCGTCCCAACAGGCCCCCTGCCCTGAGTAGCACGCTCTTCAGGACGTCTGCTCCTCGGTCACCTGGGAAGAGGAACCAAACGGAATCGCCGGGCGATGCTACCTGAAAGTAGTAGTGTGAGGCAGGGGCAGTTGCTAAATTCTGACTCCGGCTCCACTCAGCAGAAGCCCATTCACGGGACGCGCTCAGTCTCTGTGCGAGGCGGTGGTGCGCGCCAACCCCGGCTTCCGTGTCTAATGGGATCCTAACCTGTGCATCCTCTGACTTACGATGGAGGGCAATCCCATCGGCGGGCGGATCGGAGTCCGGTATCAAAAAAGTACCCCAGCTGACGCGCAACCCGAGAAGCAGCAAGGCAGCCGAACGAACGCCATGCCTCGTAGTAACCGCCAAGAGGACCCCAAAATTGATGGCCGAGCGCCCACTCGCAGAAGAACCGCCGCTGGCCGAGCACGGCGAGGCTTCGGGAAAGGTCCGGCGACGTAAAACCACAAGCGGGGCTGGTGCATTTGCTTCGAGAGGCTTATCAGGATCCACTGAGTGTTCACGGTGGAGCACCATTAAACTGCCCCGAGCAAGAAGCTCAGCAAGCTTACAATCCGGTACTGGTTCTCCGGATGTGGCCACAGCCATTGCCAGGCGAGTTGCCGGGCTCGCTCCGGGTTGGAAAGGAAGCACGGCAAGCCCCGCACCAAGTGGTCGAAAATCGATAAGGCCTGGGAGACAACCTTCAGGACATTGTAAGGCAACGAATTGCACCGCAGGCAACTGCTCTAAAGGAGGGAGGACCCGAGCGAAATGACTAAAAGTAGCGCCCCCGCACGTGACATCCGACATGAAAGCTCCCATCACAGTTGAACGAATGGAAAGATGGTCCGCAAACATCGGGGCGAATGTAAAGAACAGCCCGTTGGCATACAGAACCACCGCATTGACCCCAGTTTCGGAATGAAAGGCAAGCTCCGCGGGTCCAGGCAGCGAAAGGCTCGTGGAAAACACGTCCTCTAGAGACAGTCTAGGGGACAGAGAGCCATGACGAGAGGGTGGTACCGATTGAGGAAGACGCACCGTAGGCCACACTTGCAATGCGTCTCCTTGCGGGAGCAGAAGCACATACGCCTGGGGAACAAACCAAGCATTTCCTAGCCGACATAGGCAGTTGTTCACATCAACGTGTATGCCTTGCTGCACAGCCGCGTCCCGGATTATCGCGGCGCCTGGCTGGTGTCGGAAGGTGTCTAAAAGCGAGACAGAGCCGCCGACAGCACGAAGGTCAACTGGAACACGGATCCGAAACCACGGGAGGGTGAGCTCGGTAAGAACGTACTGCTCCGGTGGGAGGGAAGGCAGTGTTTCCACCTGGCGGCGCCAACTCCATTCCGCTGTCTGCAGACCTAGCGCAGAGCATACCTGTCTGAACAAGAGGGCCCCATGGGTACGGTCATCAACATGTAGGACCTGCGGGCAGTGCGCCAAAGACGGGGCAAAGACCCCGATGTCTCGCATTGGTGCTGGAACCTGCTGCAGGACCGGTTCGACACAAGGACCACCCGGAAAACGCACTGGAGCAAGGGCTGACGCATCCACAGCAGCAGGAACCGACCCTGTTGAAAAGACTGGCTGGCCCCGCGCAGCACTGACCGGCCAAATCTGAACCGAGTGAGTTGGAGTGCAGCAAAGCCATAAGAGTAAGTAGACCCGTAGCTGGCGCGAGCTCGGGCAAATCTTAAATGGCGACCTGCTGCCGTAAAGAATCCATCTTGCTGCAACACTGGCGGCCGGACCAACCCATGGCGTGAACAACCAAGCCCCCAACAAACCGGATCCAAGGCGCCAGACAGGACCCCATCGGAGGGCCAGAACACTCCGGAAAAGGCCGTGAAGCTCCTGCCAAGCGCAAGCAGAAGGGCGGAGAGTGTTGTGAGGAGCAGGCATACCAAATTTGTCGGAGTTGTCAGGCCGACCCGTCCATTGCCGTCCGCCGAGAAATCCCTCCAGGAGCAACAAGGCCAAACTCCATGGAAGAAGGCAGAAAAGGGCGAACCCTATTACCCAAAAGGGACGAGGCCAAACAAAAGTACCGTGGGACCTATTCTTTAGGGCTCGGCTTGCCGGGCAGTTGTGCCACTCAAGAATGGGCAGGGTTGTTGCAACAGCGCACGCACTTGGGGATCCTCTGCAGGCTCCACAGCAACATACCCTTTGAAGGGACCTCCTCGTTCGGTCAGCAGGGTAGGGTGCAGCCACTCCTGCAGAGTAGCGGGTGCGTAGCTGTAAGGGTCGAGGAGCCCTCCTACAGTTACATGTGCCGCGACCAGAAGGCCTTGGGGCAGGTGGCTGACCACACCTGCACACGAACGGACAAGAGGCAGCAGATCTCGCAGTTGTTGGTAGAGACCAGGAAGTGCACCTAAATCCCTGCTCTGCAACACCTGTTGGAGGCATTGCCACACCGCTCCACAGTGTGTCAAGACCTCGCTTTCTTTCTCGGCGTTGTGGACGGGACAGACTATTGCATCTTGTTCGGGGCAAGAAGCAAGTTCGCCCACACGTTCCCCTCCCTGAGAAACTGCAAACTGCAAAAGAGCAGTCCATGCCTGCTCCCAAGTGCGTGGGGGCTCGCGCTCCGCCGGGATCAGCTCCGCTTCGTCTTCCACAGCAGCCAGGAGCGAAGACCTGGGCACTTTGTCCGGTGTGCGACCTGTCTTCAAGGATGGCCACGGCGTGCCCGTGTCGATCTCCCGACGTGGGCTTTTGGACGGCCTCTCCGTGTGGCCACCACTTCGCTTCCTCCATCTGCCCCCTGTGGAGACAGGTAACGCTGTCGCATCTACACCAGCTGGAATCAGAGGCGGCGGCACTGCGGTCGGGGCCCGAACATCCATAGTAGATACGCCAGGTAACTCCGTGGCGAGAATCTGTATGGCTGGATCGCCTGAGCCGTCGAGGCCTAGGAGATCTTCGTCCGTGGCACCAAAGCTTGCCACAGAGCCCACATCCAGATGAGCTCCAAGCCGCACTCCTCCAGTGTCGCCCCATTGTTGAGGAGAAACCAAGGTGAGTGTAGCATCCGTCGTGCTTGTGCGACCAGAAGGAACGCCATCCTCCACAAGCTGCGCACCTGGTGGCAGCCCTCCAGCGGAGTTGGCCACGGTGTTGCCCACTGGTTGCATTGTAACTGTGCCAAAAGCGCGAAGGCGGGCAGCAAGTTGCAGCACCTCCTGTTCCTGAGGCTCTGACCAGATTGGTCCCACCGCAGCTAGAGCCTTGTTCACCTGAGCCGCTGTGGTCTCTGAGGGCTGCTCGGAAAGGATCTCGCGCATCTCCCTGGCAGCCACGGCCGTGTCGTCGTCCAACCGTTGTCCGATTGCACGGACTTGCGCCAGAAGGCCGAGCATATGCTGGCTGACAAAGCCAAACCAAGCCTGCAAAGCGACGGCCATGTCGGCTTTCGCACGCTCGTTGCCGGACAGGCGTTTGGCAAGTTTGTTGGTAAGGTTGGTCCTCCGCTGGAGGTTCTGCTCCGCCGTCCCTGCCAGAAAAGGCACCGGTGCCGCCGTCCATAAGTCTTGCGTGGCCCGTGTAGACAGTGATTGAACCGCCTGCACCACACTCGAGGGCAAGGCAAACTCTATGCGGTTCTGCTGAGGTTGTGGTTGATCGCCACGACCTTTCTGTTTTCCACCCGGAGGTCTTGATGCCGGCACATTTGCTGTTGCCTTGGGGGCCATGCTCCCGTGATGGGCCTGCAGGAGCCGACGCGCTGCCAGCGAGGTTCTGCCTGCCCGCAAGAGTTTCCTCGCCTTCGACCGAGCTCGTCGAAGCCGACGGTGCCACGGCGGGCTTGGCGCCCTGCTCTCGTGGCTTCGCACCACCAAAACTGCCCCAGATAACAAGGCCAGTGCCAAGAATCAAGAGCGGGTAAATCGGCCAGTAAACCCTGGCCTTGGGCATGCGACCTCCAGTCGCGGTACCACACCAGCTGTCGGCCGAAGCAGCGAGAGCTGGGAAGAGGGGCGCGCCCCCTCGTTAACAGCAGAAAGGCTATCAAAGCCAAACGGCAGCGCTCAACACAGAGCTGGGGTCGGTTATATGCAGGGCGCGAAACCACTCCTAACCGGAGACGCTACACACCAGCTGCACTCGAGCCAGACGCCTTGAAACCTAAACCCTAAATCCTATAAACCCTGTAAACTTTACGCCCTACATTATAGAGGAATTCTTTCAAGCCTAAACCCTGCATTGTAGTTTTTGGGGCTCTGGAAAGTATTTATGAATAGGTACCTCTATAAGAACCATAAGGGAAATTAAAAAGTTTCCCAAATTGCAACCTAGAACCTCACCTGTAAAACCCAAAGCCCCAACCGGGTCCAGCCTCCGACGTCCGCTTCTGGGCACGCTTGGTCTTCTTGTTGAAGGTCCAGTCGCCTTTGGGATTTCGGGTTTACTAATGGTTTTAATGTCTATAAGGGTTGCTTTAAAGGGATCTATAAGGTTTCTATAAGGGTTCCTTTAAAGGGATCTTTAAGGTTTCGTTAAGGGTTCCTTTCAAGGGATCCATAAGGGTTGTGAAAGGGGGTTTAGGGTTTACTTCAAGGTTCATGGGACTTAGTAACTATAGGGTTATAATTCAGGCAGCTATACTTATAATTACTCATAACCCCCATTAAGGTACTTATTACACTACTTACAAAGTCCCATGACCCTCCAAGTAGGGTTCGGGGCTTAGGGTGGCTTTAGGGCTGCAATGGCTTTTTAGTTTGATAGAACTCTGAAGGTTTTAAGGGCTCGCAAGTTTGTTTTTTGTCAAAGGGGAGGGTTGTCAGGCTGATCGAAGCTGAAGAGGTCGGAACAAATGTGGGCTGTATCGGGTTTTAGGGAGTTGTATGGTTTTTCTTTTAACTTTCGGGTTCGACACAAGGCAGAGTTGTTTTAGAACCTCATCCTGAAGCTGACTGTACGGAAGACTTGCAACTGTGCCTTTGCGATTCGCTTGATCGCCGACGTGTTTTGAATTGGATCATTTCGACGGTGCATTATGATATAAAAACCACATTTCAAAGTAAACCCCAAGGAGCAGGATTTGTACATTTTCAGGCCCGTGTATTACCCAAACTCCTTCCGCAACGGGAATAAGGATCCACCCCAAGCTTGAGCCGACGAAATCAAAACCCGAGCACATCTTGGAAGGTTCGCGAACGGAATGAAAACTTCCGTCCGAATTCCTGAACCTCCATGCCAAACATTTCCGATACCGAAACCCTAAACCCTAATCCCTAAACCCTGAACCCAGAATCCTAAACCGAAACCCTGAACCGTGAACCCTAAACTACTTTAAACTTACTAAGCCCCAAAGGCCCAAAACTCTCTGAAGCCCAAGCCCAAACAAAACCAAAGCCTCGAACCGAAGCCTCCTGATGGGAGGCCAAAAGGGGGGTTTAAGATTCTTGGGGTAGGGATTCCTTCATATGAACCCTACTATGGGAATCCCTACTAAACCCTCCCTAGGCTAAAACCCCTTTTGGCCTCTTATGACCTCCAGAGTCCGAGGTGCCCCAAAGAACCTTCTGAAGGTTCTCTTTCTTCGCTCCAAGCTTCTTGGCAATCAACGGCGCGAAGCTATCTATTCCTGGGGCTGTTGCGGTTTCGGGTTCAAGGGTTTGGGGTTTTGGGGGTTTAGGGTTTTGCGTCCTAAACCCTTGTCTATTCCTGGGGCTGAAAGTTTCGGATTCAGGGGTTCGGGGTTTAGGGGTTTTGGGTCCTAAACCCTTGTCTATTCCTGCGGCTTGGAGTTTCTGGTTTAGGATGCAGCACCGTGCTTCTAAACACTCCGGACCATTTGCACGCATGAGCGCAGCTAACCACTCTACTCGACCCTTGTCTTCTTGAAGCCCCACACTTCAACCCCAGACACTGAAGCCCTAGGCCCCCTGACCTCTAAATCTGAAATGCCATCTGATCCTCCGTTTCTGCATTCGGCGGCCACCGAAAAAAAACACGGTGCAGGCCTTCCGCTAGCGTCAGGCAAGCGACAGATTCGTGACATGTCCGCCCCGCGAACTCCTCTAACCAAATGAAGCCTCCAAGTGAAGCCTCCAGTTAATTAAAACTTTCAGTTTTGTGTGACAACGCTCTTTCTTTCTCTCTCTCTCTCTCTCTCTCTCTCGCTCATTGTTTTTTTCTGTCTTTCTTTGTTTCCCGAAAGCCCTCAACAGAAGTCCGTAAAAAGGATCTACACCCTAAACCCTATGTCAAACCCGACACCCACCTAAACCCTAAACCATTAAACCCTGTTGTAGATCCCTTGAAGGAACCCTTGTAAATCCCTTTAGAGGAACCCCTAAAACCCTAATCCGGCGAGCTTCGAAAAGCCCAGCCGTGAACTGCCGAACCGAAGGCGACGTTCCCCAACTCCGGGGAGTAGCGCCAGAGCTCCTCCACCGCCCAAAGGGTTTATAGGGTTTAGGGTTTAGGGTTTAGGGGAGCACGCCAGAGCTCCTCCATCTTAGGGTAAGGGTTTCTTTACCAGAAGGATGCCTTCATAAAACCGCTGGAGCCCACAACCCTACAGAAGACACCCAACCCTAGACCCCTGAACCCTGAGCCCCGCACCCTAAACCCTAAATCCCTAAACCCCCAAAACCCTTACAGAATGCATAAAGGAACCCCTAAACTCCTAAAACCCAAACCCTAAACCCTAAACCCCCAAAATCCTTATAGAACCCATAAAGGAACCCCTAAACTCCTAAACCCCTGCGCACCTCATCCTCGAAGTCTAATGCCTGCGAAAGATCTAAGGACTCCATGTTGACATCCTCGGATCCCGGCTGGCAAACCGTGGCTTTGCCTAGACCCTCACATTAGTGCGTTTTATTGCATGCCTTACTTTATGGTTAGGATCCTGCCTGCTTTTGGTTACCTTAGTAACTAAGGTAATTAACCAAAAACAGCTGCTACATTTAAGGGTCTACGCAAGGCCGTTAGAGGGTTGTTCTGAGGAGCCCCGGCTACAGTGCACGGAGCGCTTCAAGGCTTTAGAGGGGCAAGCGAGAGTTCTGTTGGAAAAGGTGTTTGTCAAGGTTTGAGAAGCTTTCAATAAGGGGTCTGCATTGTGTTGCGGTGGTTTCAGGCTTGAGGGATAGCTTGAAGGTGGATCATGAGGTTCTGTTGCCAAGGTCTCTGTGCGGCTGCTTTTGGATGCCAAGGTCAGGTGGTGGTGTGTGGTGGTTGGAATTATTAGTCGCTTCAGGATTCTATCTTGAGAGTATTTGTGTCATTTCTTCTGCGGGTTTTTTAAGCTCCATTGCTTCACGGCTTTCCAGTTTGAAGGTTGAGGGTTTAACAAACGAAGTATCGAATTCCCGAGGCCGGAAGTTACGAGATGCGACATGACGACCTCTGTGAGTACCGGTGCTAAGCACAGGGAGCAACAGCCACGAAGGCGGGACTGGTCAGGTCGCGGTGCGAAGCTTACGGTTTGGGGCTCGTGTGCCTTTCAATCCGCTGCGGTGCCATGGACAGTTCAGCTGTAACCTGTGTTTCGCTTAGGGTAAGAAAATATATAGAGGGAGACCCAATATCAAACTGGTAAAAGGTACCAGTCCAGACTCAGGGACTCCATTATCGAATTTGCACGCGGTTGAAGGCGGATCGGATGGAACTCAAGGTGTTGAAACTACGGTCGCTTAATGTTGAGGCTTTCGGACTTGGATACAGGAAAAGAGTTGGCAAATATTCGGGAAAGAATAAGCTTTACCGGTCCCCAGGCCCAGGGTAGACTGGGTAGCTTAGCGTTTACGATTCACTTTGAGATTTGGATAGCCTACGGTCTAGGACTGTGGGCCATTTAGTTTCGATCGGAAGGGTGTGGGTAGCTTCGGGTAATTCGGGGTTTCGGCTAAAAGGTTCGTTTGGGTTCAAGTGGGGTACGGCAGGACGGTTCGATTTAATGTTGGACAAAGATAGCCTGCGACGATCCGTACGGTTTTTTTCGCGCTGCGGGTTGAATCAAATGCCCGGACATCCACTTGGTGTATCCCTTCGTCAATCCATGCCACAATTCAACATCATCCACAGACTACCAAGAACTCCCAACGAATTTTGCAATGGGGAAGGCAGCCATAGGTTGAAGAATTCCACATTCCATCACTCCCGAGTCTTGGACTCACACGGCCATCAGGCATGAACACTGCAATTCCTTCAGCTATCAAAAAGCCTGACAAATAAGACCCTCGCATGTGTAAGCAAACTCCGGAAAGCCTACACCCTGCCCACATGCTTGAATCCAGCTTTTCGGAATAGCAGGCTATCGGTTTGGAGATTCAGGTTCTCAGGCTTTCACGTGTCTGCACTACTGCCGACACGTTCCCAGATCAAGCCGAACCAACAGAATTGGAAAGCTCGAAACAATCCAACTCGCTTAAGGCTCTTTACCGAGCGCGTGGGATGCTTCTCGCCTCGAGTAAGACAAAGCGAAGCCGCATGCTGGGACTTAGCCAGTCCGCATGCTGGGACTTGGTGAATATTGCCCGGACTCAGACTCAGCTGAACCGTAACTGTTCTTGTGTGTGTGTGTGGGGCCCGACATGTGAGTCAATGCAGACTGCATGCAAGTCCGGTGTTGTCTTGGAGTTGCTTGCGTGATGTATTTCCTCCGACCCAAGAACAGATTGCAACCCACTGCAAAGGCAAGAGCTGGTCCAGACTTGGCGAAGGCCGCCTTAAATTTTTTGAAGGATAGCACGTTCTGAAAAGAACTGACATTTCGACTCTTGTGCTTGCTACGTACCACAACCCTAAGTGTGCGTGCGTCGCAAGGTTCAAAAGACATGGCTCCGAGTTCCATTAATGCGGCAGCCTCACACCTAGTAAGGTTGCGGTTCTGCGATTCCAGAGAGACCAATCCCCTACCAGGGGTCGAATGGTTCGTAATAAGAACCCCTCATAATCACCATTAAAAGCCAGTAAAGGCATAGTATAGGCTTACAAGCTTGCGAACCAAGGCTTTGGATTCCTAGCATGCCGGCAAGGATGCGAAAAGAGCTCGACCCCTCCTAAGGAGCCCTGTATGATGCTCTTACGGTTATCATACGGTGGATGGACAAACTTCTGCATTACCCCAAGTATAGTTTGGTACCATAATTCCCAAAGCTTAGGTATAATTAAAGGGCCGTGCAGGATGTTGTCTATCAGCAGTACTAGGGCTTCGGTTTCAAGATTAACCAGCCAGACCTACAGTACCTCATGTTGTAGTTGTTCAAAATGCTTGCCCCGCGAATTGCGATGAAGCAGCTTCAGATCTTAGCTAACCAAGAGGGTGCATACATACTACGTACTACCTGCTGTGGAACTCGTTAGCTGCGAACAGCTACAGTAAGTATGGTCTTTCGGGACCTAGTTCCATAATAGTCATATGTATATGTATAGGTCTATATGTATATATATATATATATATATATATATGGACCCCTCTGGGTAAAATGTGCTAAAATCTTCTGTCACATTGCGATAAGCTGCTGCTGTGCTCGGTTTCCTGGCAGCGCCCTTCGCCATAACCTCCAAAGCGCAGCTCTTGAAGATTCGGATTCAGGGAAACAGCAGGGATCTAGTAAGACATTGATGAAGTAGGGCTCTAAGCTAAAACCTTGATCAACGCCTGATCCAGGGTTTCGAGCTGGCCCAGCCCACGGCTTTGTTGCTGCGGTTCAGGCTTGGCTTCTGCGGTTTCGGGATTAGGTTTTTTGTTAAAGTTAGGTTGACGGCCTTCTTTGTGCGCCTGCCCGAGTCGGCTCCTAACTAGGCTCCACTGGTTGGGTTTAGGATTTAGGGGTTTAGGGTTTAGGGTTGGTTTCGGGATCAGGGTTTAGTGCCACGGTTAACCCGCACATACACCATAACATAGCCCAAAACCCTTATCATCGTCAAGCCAATTGCATTGGGCAGGGCCATTTAGATCATAAGCCCTGACTCTAATTTTGTGATCATCAAGGCAGCTACATTAGTACTAGGTAGCGGGGGCCGTTGAAGCGCACACCCTAAACGCCTAAAACCTAACATCGTCAAGGACCCGACCCTTGTTTGCATAGGCTTCAGGGCCTTGAAGCCATCTCAAGAATCCACAAGCTCTGTCGCTGAAACTTGCCGGAACCTCTAAAGGTTAATTAGCGGTTTAGGATTTCACTGTCTAGGATTTAGGCTTGGAGATGATGGGCAGCAGCGTTTCAGGTTTAAGATGAAGGTGCACAGCTTAGGGTTTAGGTTCAGGTTGAAGGTCTGAGGCTAAGGGCGATTGAAATAACGCTTAGGGGTTGGAATAGGGTCCAAGAGTTTCGGTTGTTCGTTCTCAGGGCTCTTGGTAGAATCGTCATGCAGCTGCTTCTTGTTTATGTAGATCAGGGCATACCTGCAATCCCGAAACCAAGACCCTGAACCCGAAATCCCCGTCGGCAGCCTGCTCAAACCGAAAAAAAATGAAAAGAAACATCCAAAATTATCAACCTCTGAGATGCAATTGAAGTTAGGGTTTATAGGCCTGAGGGCTGAAAGCAAATCTGGGAAGATGCACCGAAATTTACGGTACTCTCACAGCTAGAAGGTTCTGAAAATCAGTCTCCCTGTTTAAGTCCCCAAAACAATACTGCACCCTTTAAAAAAAGCAATGCCAAAATCTCTAATTATACCCATCAGCGGGGCGTTCTACTCGGGGTTGAAGGGGGCAGCACAGATGGCTTGAGGGATTATGCTAGTTTCTGGCAAGCCAACCCACGGACACCCCCAAAGCAAGGTTTGGGACTTTGGTGATGTCTGGGGTTCGGGGTTAATTTGCGTTTGGGGTTGTGGGGTTTTGCTGATTGGGGCTTGGTGTTTTAGGGCTTACTTGGAGGATCATGGGACTTAGTAAGTATGGGTACATATAAGTGCCCTAATTGGGTTTTACGTAATTACAAGTATAGTTTACCCAAATTATAACCGTATAGTTACTAAGTCCCATGACCCTTTAAAGCTTTAAGTACGGCTTAAAGGTTCAGGATGGTTTAGGGTTTAGAAGTTCAGATGTTGAACCCGATGCTGAGTCGCAGGGGCGGCCTCCTCCGAGAACAACTGCTGGTTAGCAGCATTGATCTGCTCGACAATCCTGGGCTGTGCAGATCCACGAAACTATAGCTATTATATACCCATTACATAGCCCATTATGTATAGGGTAGGGGTCCCCATTAAGGGTCCCTCCTCTTCTATACTGAACTTAGAACCCTAGCAAAAATTACAATTTCAGCTGTTTCTTAGGGATTATAATAAAAAAAATGAAAACCATTTCTAAGTACCCCTAAGGAAACCCTCAACCCGGAAACCTCAAACCTGAATCCTGCACCCCCCAGTACCAGCATCAAAATCTGGTGAGGTAGGATGTGTGAGTGCTCACAAGTTCAGCATTTTGTGGGGTCACAACGGAACGCGGGCTGGGGGTTTTACACGCTAGATGCAAAGAAATATACGCAACAAACAGAACAAACACACAAACCAGCAATGCATGGTCTGTTTGTCGAACATTGAAGTCCGGGTTGAACAGTTCGGAACGCGAAGACATACAGACATGCACGTTGATGAGTCCACTTGCTTGTGCAGTTTCTGCAACCATTACCCTAAGACCGCGCCTTACTTGTCAGATATTAGTCATTGCTATGAGCAGAACACTTACTGTAGCGACGCAGTGAGTATGGCGATTGCATACTGGCGTCGACCACAACGAAGACATTGACGACCCCTACTGCTGCGGCTGCTGCTGCTCCTCCTCCTCCCACTACCTCTACCACGACGACGACGACGACTGCTACTACTACTACTACTACTACTACTACCACTACCACTACTACTGCTACTACTACTACTACTCCTACTACGACGACTACTACTACTACTACTACTACTACTACTTCTACTTCTACTTCTTCTGCTACTGCTACTACTGCTACTACTGCTACTACTGCTACTACTCGTACTACTACTATTACTACTATTACTATTACTACTACTACTACTACTACTACTACTACTCCTACTACTCCTCCTACTCCTCCTACTACTACTACTACTACTACTACTACTACTACTGCTACTGCTACTACTACTACTTCTGCTACTACTACTACTACTACTGCTACTACTACTACTACTACTACTACTACTACTACTACTACTACTACTACTACTACTACTACTACTACTACTACTACTACTGGTTGTGGTTTGGTAGCGCTAGAGTGTGCCTGTAATCTCCGACCACCCCACACCACCACCGCCCTCTTCACGCATCGCCCCTCCGCTTCCCAGGTAGCCCCATTACTCTCTATACAGTGATGGCTTTACAGCTCTTGCTGCGATTGCAAGTTCCAAGGCTGTGACTGCAAGTTCAGCGAAGCTTCCGCGCGAGCCTCTGGTATATCTCCATCGGCGGGAGCTCAAGTTCTACGATCAGCCTGTCCACCTGCAAACAGCCATGAACCCAGATCATCTGGGAGTTTGGGGGGTGGCTGTATCGGGCCTTCTTGGAGATCCTGCGGCCCTGTATGCCCGCCCAAGCCCTTAAACCGCAGGGTTTCCTGATTTCGGGGTCGGTAATTTGTGGAAGAAGCGCTTCGAGGGTTTCGAAAGAGAATACCGACAGACACCCTAAACCCGTAATCTCAAACCGAAAGCCGAACCCTAAACCGTGGATCTAGCCTTGAGTTTCCGGATAGTGGGCTTCTGGCTTCGATTAAACTCAAACCCTTCGCTCCGAAACCCTCAACACCGAAACCCCAAATCCTGAATCCTCCAACTTCTCGTGGGTGGGGCTTCGTCTCCAGAAATTGTGGGTCACAGATCTGAGGTGGCATGGCCTTCGGAAGCAACTGCCTTTAGATATGTTGTTGTCTTTCGGGTATAAGGGACTGCTTCTCAAGGCTTCCCTAAATCTAAGCCCACAGCCAGCGGTAGCCATAGGTTTGAGTCTATGCAAGCTGTCTATTATGGTAGTTCTCTAAATTAGGGTCCCTTTGTAGGTCCTTCTCTAAATTAGGGTCCCTTTGTAGGTCCCAAAATGGTACGGCATCCGCATAACTTATAAATTCGAAAGGGGCCCTGATTTTGAGAACTACACCCATAACATCGAAGATGCGATTCGAATCAGAGCGACACCCATCAACGACAGTCCTGTGACCCCCCAAAACCTCCGCCCGCCTCCAACAACAATAAGCGGTACAGTCTGCGGGTGTTGGGTTCCCGGAGCTCCCTAAACCCTACCTTAACCCTGACTTACCCACCTTTTGGGGTTCCTTATTATGACTTCCTTATATAAGTCCTCACAAAAGGTGAGTTCTTCCGGGTTAAGGTAAGCCCAAACCCCAAACGCTCTATCATCAGCCTGCTCGGAGGATTGGGGGAACGTCTATAATATATCACCCAGAGGCTCCTCATATAGTACCATTATGGAATTAGGTCCCAAAAGACCATCCATATCATGGCTTTGGGGACCTAATTCCATAATGGTACTATACTTGGAGCCTCTAGGTCAGTATCGAATCCCCAAAAAGGAGCCTCTTTGGGTACTTCAAAGTCTACTTACTACCCGCTTTACTACCCTCCAAATAGACCCTGAACCCTAAATCCTATAAACCCTACAAACTGTATAAACCCTAAACCCTACCTCTTAGACCTCTTTAAAGGGCCCCACTGTTGATGGACAAAATCCTGCATTACCCACTGTAAGGAATATACCATAGTTCCCATAGCTTCGAGTTCTTAGGGTTATGCAGGATTTTGTATATCGACAGTAAGGCTGTAAGGCCCGAAGCCCGGAACTCCGCGACTGGCCTTATTCAGGAACAAGCAGGACTTGACCCGGTCTCGGTACGCTTGGCGCAGCACTGTACCTAAGCACAGCGACTCGTAGACGTGAGGCTTTAGGCCGCATAAAACCCAGAGCCCTAAACTTCGTAAATTCAAAGCTTGAAGGGCTCTGAAGTGCGATGATGCTTCTCTGCCTGTACAGTTTAAGGTTTCGGATTTGTGCTTTCAAGGCCCAGGAATCAGGGTTTACTATAGGGCCTTAGGAGCCACCAGGCTTAACACTTCATTTGGGGTGAACTTCTAGACCCAGGAGTAACCTGGTAATAAAAAGGGTGCCCTTTTTGGTTCAAAGGGGGTTTATAAGGGAACCTGAACCCCAAAAAAGGGAATAAGGGCTTACTCTGGGTCCTAGACTTCGAGGTCCGTAGTTTCAGCTTCTTCTCCCAGAGGGTCCTAAGTAGCTAAATGGTAGCATGCGGGGTCTCTTACACTAGGGACTACCATTCACGCAGTGTGTAGTTTCCAGTTGTCTTAACCCTGAAACCTGAGAGCGCAAAGGCCTACACAACTTCAAAGGACAACGGACTTACCAATTTAGCCTATGTGCCGGGGCTATAAATGCACCCCCAGTCGGCTTACCGCCCTCGTAACCCTGCTTCCATGTTATGTACCAAGTCCTCGTGACCGGCTAGAAAAACCCGAAAGCAAGGCCTAGAACCCTCAACCCAATGGGAAGCCCGACACTAATGCTCAAAATCATCCAAAGGCCTTCGCTAGCATGCTGTCTTCGGGCCCTTAGAGCCTTATTGGGGCCTCAGGGCAATACTCTACACTAAGTCCCCTTATCCATCAAACCTGAACTCGAACACCCTACCTGTTGCCAAAAATTAGAAAACCTACAGTGCCAGGCTTCTTTATTCTGATGCCCATGTACATCTACACACACATATACATATATACATATGTGCATATACATATGTGCATATACATATATATATATATATATCCTCATATATATATATATACACAAATAAATAAATATATATATATATATACACATGTATAAATTGCCTTATCAAGGTAAGGTTTGGGTGTCAAAACTGGGACCTCCATCGCCTCAAAGATGCGAGTTTGCGCCTCCACGCCTTCCACCACGTCGATCACGATCAGGGCACCGTCCTGTTCGGCTTTCGGGTTAGGGTTTAGGGTCTAGGGTTTATAGGGTTTACGGTTCGGCTTTCTGAAAACCCGGTTTAGGGTTGAAGGTTAGGGCTGCAGGATTTTGTTTACGGCGCTGTGCGCCCAAAGAACATACGTATCATGCGAGGCATTTTGGGCCTCTGAGCCTTACAAGGGAAAGTTTTTCGATTCACACGCGGCTTTTAAGGGTCTTATTTTGCGCTGGTTTGCCCCTTTGGGATACTTGATTAAAGGCTTTAGGGCAGTGTTCGGGCTTGGGGAAAAAACATTGCACTTTACGACGGTCGAACAGAGTTACAGTGCCTCGGTTCGGACATGGAGCTAATTGATGGCCGGGTTCGGAGTTTCTTGGGGAGGGTCGGGGGACTTAGTAAGTAGGTAACAAGTAGACTTATTATAATAAGTATGAATGTTAAAGGGGACCTTAATTGGACCTCATAAGTGTGCAGAATAACTACTTACCAAGTCCTCCGACCCTCCAAGCACCAGTCTAGCTCCTTCACCGCAACCACCCAAAAGCCTCAACCCTCAGTCTTGCGATTGAGTTGTCCCGAAAGTCCCCCCCCAAACCCGTAAAGGCCCTTGACACCCATAACCCCTTAAACCCTAAACCCTTAAACCAGTAAGCCCTCAAGCCTAGACCCCGAAACCCCCGAAGCCCTAAGACTCTAAACCCCAAACGCTCAATCCTAAACCCTGAACCCCCAAAACCCTAAATCCCAAACGCTCACTGCCAGACGAGATTCCGCAAGCCGCGCGGCTGTCGACACCTCGGACGTGAAATCCACATGGCCGGGAGAATCCTCAGTGAAGATCAGGATCGGCTGCAAAAGACCCTAAATTCAACTTGGCTGACTTCTGCACCCCTCCAAAAAGTTAAACTTTTAGCCTCCTCATTAATATAGTTCATAGAGAAACCCATGAAGTTAAAGTCCTAAGAGCCAACCAGAAGAACGCCGAGGTAAAAATTACCTAGACCCTTACATGTAGCAGGAGTTTGGCTACCTTAGTTTGTTATAGTGAACATAGGATCCTAACCATAAAATACGTCGTCCAATAAAAGGTATTAGATTTAAGGGTCTGGGTACACCCTGTGAAGCTTCAGGCCATAAACCCAAAACCGCGGTCAACACACTCTAAATCTCAAACCTACCCCAAACCCCAAGCCCGTAAACCCTAAGCCTTTCTTCTGAAGCTTAAAAGCGAAAGGCTGAGAATATCGCGAGCTCCCTAAACCATGCGACCATGGTTTTGGGGGTTTATCAGCCCAAAGGGTGCTATGTACTGGTATGGGGGTTACTTCCCTAAGTCATAATAGTAATTCCTAATATGGAAACCCTACATTCTACTATATCGGTACATAAGACCCTTTGGGAAGGCCTTGGAGTCTCCGGCTTATGGTTGCAGAGTTTATGGTTACATGTTTGGGGGTCGTCTTGGGTTGAGGATGTAGGGTTTGAGGTTTAGGGTTTAAGGTCAGAACCTGGTTTGGGAGAGTTTGGGTCCCAGAAGTCCCGAGTTGAGACTATGAAGGCCTTTTTAGGGCGCCTACGTTATAAGATAACATACCCTAACCATAAAACTAGGTATCCTAAGAAAGGGGTAGGGTATGAGCCTCTAGGTAAGGTCGTTGTAGGGCTTCTTGGCCCGAGGGCTTTCCAAGCTGTCCGGGCATGGACTTACTGTTGGCGACTGCAACTGCCTGTAGTTTTCATTGCAATTGCTTTTTTGGGGTTACCTTACGGGATCCTCAATACAACTATGGTTACCATTGTAGTTCCTTGCTGGGTTATCAAAAATGGGCTCCTCAATATAAATATAGTTAGACCAAGAAAAGGAACTACAATGGAGACTATAGGTAGGTATGCAGCGGCTTGCCCTATACCCTAATTGCCCGAATCCCCAATGACTTGGTATGGACCCGAAACCCTAAAACCCGGCCTGGCCCTAGCCCTACATCCACAACCCCACAAACCCTAACCCTCAAGCCCTAGTGGCCTAAACGCTGACGCCCTAAACCCCTAAACCCTGTAAGCCTTACCTTCGAAGCCCAGAAGCTATGAGATTGACCAGGAAGGTCCTGCTCAGGCCTGACGTCAAGAGGACTGCTTGAGGTTTCGGGTTTAGGGCTTGGGTTGTAGGGGCCTTCATAATAAGAACAGGCCTTTGGGGCCCATTACACTGTAGTTATAGAAAGGAACCACCAAAAATTGTTTTGGTAATTCTTGATGCTCCTATATTAGGCTTTGGGGTTTGGGGCACACAGGATTCGGAAAAATGGGAAGGGGTTCGCACCCTGGTCGGGGTTCAGGATTTTCAGAGAACTTCGGAGGTTCTTGTCGACGTCGTTTCTGGGGCCCAAAGCCGGAGGAGTATTACATGTTACGGTTCACGAATCGGTTCAGGGCTTCAAGACCCCTAACGGTAAACTCTCAGAAATCTTAGACATTGAACTAGAGTTGTGAACTTAGGGTTTGGGGCCATAGGGTTTTGGAGAGAAAATTAATTGAAAACCCACGGAATCGTACTAGTCATCCCTGGAGCAGTGTATTACTGAAAACACCCGAACCTTTTTGGAAACACTAAACTTTAAACCCTAAACACTAAACTCCAAACCCAACCCTGAGCACGATTGTTCCCCAAACCCCAGGTGAGGTTAGGGGGCCTTGCCAACGCAGGGCGATGGAGCTGGACTTCATGGTGATCTCACGCTCCTGTGTAGGCTTTCAACTAAGGTTGCCTTTATCCCCCCACATGATACACAATACACAGCAGCCACTGCACATAGCAGACTGCACCTAACATGTCAGCGCTCATTTATCTTGGCTTCGTGTAGCCTTGCAGGGCGCAGGTGTAAAGCCGGCTTATGAGCAGAATTGCCCAACAGAGGTACTGATAACCCCAATCGGTCATAATCTAGACACTAAACCTCCTGATCCTTCAAGCAACTGCTTGATTTAGGTTCTCATGGGCTCGGGTCCAGAGATTCCAAGGGTAAAAGGAGGACCCTTAATAAGGACCCCCAGGTATGTACCCTTAATATAGCTGTTATATACCCATCATATAGCCCATATAGGGTAGGGGTGCCCATTAACGGTTTCGAGATGATGCTCCAAAGGCCTTGACGCAAATATCACGCTGCTGGACAAAACCGCCGAGTTAGGCTGGGAAGTTCTGACTCCTACGGTTGATGATAGAAACCCTGCATTACCTTGACCCTAAGCTATGGGAATTGTGACATATTCCTTATTATGGGCAATGCAGGATTTAAATTATCAACCGTAGTTCCTGTACCTGGCTCAAAGCATGACTACCCTAAGGCTCCATAGTAGTTCCTTCTCGGGGTTCATATTTCGAAGCCCATAAGGTAATTCCAAAAAGGAACTACTATGGAGCCTCTGGGTAGTTGGCGAGTTCCAAGATCGTACACACAAACTCCGTATCAAACTGCCCAGCTCCGCAAAGCTTAGCATGCTGGGCTACTAAACCCTAAACCTTAAACCCTAAACCCCAAAACCCCTAAACCCTAAAGCTTGACCTTAAACCCTATACCCCTAAACCCCTAAACCCCTAAACCCTAACGCAGCTCCGCAAAGCTTAACATGCTATTCTACTATGAGGCCGGTCCTGTTCATCTTCACGGGAGTCAAGATACCGGATCTTTCCGGCAGACTGCGGTGAGATGAAGCCATTCGTACCTTTACCCATAGGCCCCATAGTAGTTGCCTTTTGGGGTTCTCATGTAGAATGCTATAAGGTAATCCCAAAAAGGAACTACTATGGGGACTATGAGTAGAGACATTCATGACCGAGATTCACTCCTGCTTTCTGCAAGGTTTGTCGTAGATGACTCCACCCATAGACAGCTTCATCCCGAATTCATGATTACTTCCTACTTCATGGTATGAACTCTTACGTTATGTAACTTCATGGACAATTGCCAACTATTGGGTGTTGGACCTTCGGGGTAAATCACGATGCCCTCTAAGCTAGTAAGACTTACTAACACGGGGTTTTGTAGTCTCTGGGTGGTACATACTTGGAGGTTCGGGGGACTCAGTAAGTGCGTTCTAAGTAGACTTATAAATGCCTTAAAAGGGACCCTGATTGGGGTTATGGTACTTATAAGCCTCTAAAATAACTACCTACTAAGTCCCCCGACCCTCCAAGTACTGGGACCTTGGACCCTGAGCTCGCATAGGCCCTAAAACGTGCAAGCAGACTCATATGGCTGGTTCTCTAAATTAGGGTCCCTTCTAGGGTCCTGTTCAAGAATCTAAGAAGGGCGCCGTGCTTTTAAGGAACCTATAACGGGACCGGGACCCTGATCCAGAGGACTACCCATATGATAAACAATCGGAAGTCGACCTTAGGGTTTTGGGATCACGTTCTTATCATAGTAGCAGAAACCGTACTTTAAACCTAAACCCTAATGTTTGCTGACAGTTTTGGGATGGCAGCTTAAGGATTGGCTTTTCGGAGAACTTAAAGGATTAGGGAACTGAATATGGGTACCCTAAGCCCTGAACCCTAAACCCTTTTCGGAATACTTCGAAGATAACGGAACTGAGTATGGGTACTTAACCGACGTCTGGGTACTGAACCGACTCTTTAAACCTTGGCCTTCAGCACCTTTGAAACCACAATTTAAAAGACTACTTGGAGGGCCAGGGGACTTAGTAAGTCTTTGATAAGTAGGGTTATACTTGGTGTAGGCTACTTATAACTCCACTTATTCCCTACTTACTAAGTCCCCTGCCCCTCCAAGTAGCCTTTAGTAATGCCTTGGTGTTCTTGTATTGTCAGAAAACAACGAAGACCCTAAACGTACTGCCAAGCCGGGGCACTAATCAAATTGTCCGCGCAGGTCGTTTTTCCATGGTCGACCTAGGGTGGTCAATTGTACAGAATAGGGTTCCTTTGAAGGGTTCTTTAAAGGGTTATAGTTATGGGCTACATACTGTTCTATATAAACGGTTGTATGCTATAAAAACCGTGGTACCTAGAATAGGATTCCGGCTGAAGGTTTCGTAAAAGGCTCCTTCGCTCGTGTTGCAGCAAAGGTTGCTATGAGAGTTCCTTGCTATAGCGACCTGAATAGCTAGAAGAAAGTTTTGAGGTGTTTCATGGCTTAGCTATGAAAGTAACCCTCAGGAATAGCATTGGTAATCATTCAAGCCAATCAAGCCTCTACACTAACATTGATTTTGGATGATTCTTGCTGGGATTCCCTATACTTTACGTTTAGGGCATGAGGATAATGATGTTCCAACTTTCTCGCTTCTACTGTATCCCAAAAAGATGATTTTCAGGATATTTGGCTTCATGGGTCTAAAGCGGTTTGCTTTGCTTTGTTTAGAGGTACGTAGCGGTCCCAGGGTGTTGTGGTTGAGAGCAATGCCGAGCAACATGTGCCAGGATGCAGATGTTGCGCACGTTATCCTGATGTCACGAAACCGAATGCATTTCGCGACCGCGTTGCCCCCCCCCCACAAGTAGTAGGGTCCCAATCACGGGAACGAATTACCCAGAAATAGCCGACCGAAGAAGCATCGATGAATGGAGGCACTCGCAAGTGTCGGCTTACCATAATATTGCATACCAACAATCTACACACAGTCTGCATCCCTCCATCCCTCCATCCATCCATGCATCCATCCATCCATGCATGCATGCATGCATGCATGCATGCGTGCATCCATCCACACACACACACACATACACATATTTTCACATCCGCACATCCACACATACATAGTTACATAATATATATATATATATATATATATCTCTCTCTCTCTCTTTTCCGATGTACCTGCACCTATCTCTACATCTGTATCTTTCATTACGCATACATGCCTGTATGTGTATATATATATATATGTGTGTGTATGCATACATTTTTATGCATACGGAGCTCAATCATGTCGCGCTCCAATTCCCACAAATGCCAGCAGCTCGCGTAGGTAACTTCTCGTAGATCCTCATATTCAGGTATGATGACTGTAAGGGGGATGGAACCCCATCCCCAGGGTCTGTGCTTTGGGGAACCCTTCACAAGCACGTGCTTGGATTGCAAAAACGTATATTTGTTACTGATGAGAAGTGAGACGAGACTGAGGCGTCTAAAGGACCGATTACTTCATGAGGAGTCCTCAACAAGCACATCCTCCGCCCTACTCCTGCACCCAGGGCCTCGTCCCCTTTCCAATAATTTCAAAATACCTTCAGCCACGATATCCTTAAATGAAAGCCTAATGGGCCGAGTGACTCAGAATCCATGTGCTGAACTAGAGGTTGGACGGATTCATCTGACATCTGACTAGAAGAACATGCATCATTCCCATGGTAGACACTTCGCAAGATATTCAAACCTCTGCGTTAAGTATATCCGGAAGTGGGCCTGACCTCAACCACCGAAAACCGACTTTTTGAATGATATATGATATAAATGAAGAAATGCTTTTTGGGGCTTAAGGTAATATAATCACCAAACATGAAACCCTGCAGGCGGAATCTCCGCGCCGCTTCAGACCCAGGGTGTGAGACCTACAAGGGATCCAACAGACGAGAATCCTAGCAACTAGAAGCTGCCCCCACCCTGTAATAGTGACCATGAGGATGATATTAGGGCCCTATTATGTCCCTATTATACCACTTCTACAGGGTGGGGGCCCCTTCTTACCCCGTAACAACTATCCCATTCATGCAGGAGTTTCCGAACATAGGGGACCCAAATATAGTACCCTAAATAGTAGGATCCTTATCACAAGGACCCCAAAATAAGGTATCGCTAATTTTCGGAAACTCTAAGCCCTAAACCCTTTATAGAACCCTTACAGATCCCTTTGCGGAACCCTTAAAGGATCCCTTTAAATGTACCCCCCTACTTTGCGGAAACTACCATATGGGTAGTACTCTCGAAGGTAAGGTCCCTTTTCACGCCGCCAAAAACTAGTACGGCACCCTTATGAACACAACCCTAAAAGGGCGCGACTTTAAAGAACTGCCCATCTACGATTGCTTTGTTTAAAGTGCACTGGCTAGGTTGTCCCTAGTCTGTCTCTTACAGACATACACTGCTAAAGATCGAGCTTTTTACAGGGTTGTATCTTTTCGACGCCTGTAGTCTTAGAAACCTTATACCAGCAAAGCTCTTCTACCCGCCCCGTCCTTAGATCCGTCCAGATCCTACTGTAGGCCCCACATCTATCTTCTATTAGGGGCCAGAGGGGCTTTGTGAAGGGGGCCCTTGGGGGAAACCCGGGCTAAACCCTAAACGCTAAAACCCTAAACCATGTGACTCAACCCCGAGACAGCCTGTGGCCACGCCAAGGATTCCGCTTCTCGCGCAGCTGCAAACATGGCCACGAACAACGCCTACCCTTAGGGCTCAAGTGCTAAACGATCAGACGCTTGGGTTCAGGGTTTATAAGGGTTTAGGGCTACAGGTTCGTATGGCTCGCCTATGACTCTTGGATACTTGGGACCCTTATGTTAAGCCTGGTTGTAAACCCCAGTTTGCAGGAACCTGAAAGAAAACGGCTCTAGACAGGAGCTTTCTGCAGCAGAGTTTGGGCTACAAATTTTGGGTCGTCCTTTCTTTCCTAAACATCATTTCAGGGATTCAGGGGTGCGAGAAGGATTAAACTGTGTTTAAGGTTGGAAGCTTAGAGCTTAGAGCCTAGGGTATGCTTGGAGTTCAGGGGTGCAGGCCCTGGGAATTTCAAGTGTTGCAGGTGAGCAGGCTCTCCCCGTTGACATGTGTAATGCTTCACTGCTGATGGTATAAAAGACTCTAGGCTTGCCTGCTGATGGTGGTGCTGATCCAGCTCTGGAGCAACGTAGAGTAGGTTGTTGAGTGAAAGTAGACCTCACTGGGGTTGAAAGAGATAGGCTTAGTCTTGGTTTGCGGCTGTGGTGGGGACTCTCGTGTCAGCGAATGCAATGGCTGCGGCGAAAGATGCTTCCATGGCATTCGGTCGAGCCGATGGTCTCGCCATATCAACGGCACATTCCCCAAAGGTCCAAAGGACCCAATATTTTAGGTAGTCGGTTTTAGGATAGTACTTATGCAGGTTAGGATTTGGATAGTATACGATTATTAGGTACTTGGACCCTTGGGGATTGGTAGCAAGTACAAAAGGAAACTCCCGACTGATCTGGAAACTTTAACTCCGAAGGTGGATAGGATTTGTAGCGGTCAGCGCCACCTGCTGGCGACATACTTACAGCCTAAAAACTGTTGAATGCATGACACCACTAAACTTGCGACACATTTGGGAGTTGAACGTTGCTTGTAATTAATTGCAGGACTGAAACCTGATCTCTACCCTTAGAGGCCCTTGAGCTTCCACACCCAAAAGGCCCTGAGTACGTTAAGGGTATTCTACGTGTTCCTTTATGGACACTATGGTTTAGGATACTATAGGTACCAGGCGAGCTTGTCCAACAAAGTGCTCTCTAGGTTTTAAGTTTGTTGGGGTCAAGGGCCTAGGGCTTCGGGGTTTCATCTCCCCTCCTTTATGGCTGTGTTATTACCCGTATAGCACCCTCTGAAACCGCCCCCGTCCCTGCCCCCGAGGAGGTGTGCATTCCTCTTCTCCCGCTGGGGCCATGAGACCAATCGGCAAAACCTGAGCTAGCAGCAATCAAAAGCGAGAGCCGATAAACTGCTACCCCGGAATTAAGCGCCTCAACCGTTTACGCTTTAGGGCTTGACATGAACCCTGAACAGTAACGTCGCAACCGTTCAGCGATCTTGAAGGTGCATCATGCTAACAGAACCAAATATTGCTCTGTCATGTTTCGTTACACAGCATGCTGGTACATGTTTTCAATTCTGACACGCCGCTCTGCCATGCATATTTGTCATTAGCAGGTTTGCGTAATCCTAAACCATGAACACTAGACATAGCACTGAGCCCAAGGTTGATCCACGGAAGTCCATCTGCATAAGTTTCACTTCACATTCACATGCTTAGCACCAGACCCGAACCTTGAATCATCCTAAACCCTATACTTATGTACCTTTGGCTAGTAGGGGATGGAAGCATGGAAGTGATACCCTACTAGCCAAAGGTAAGTCTAGTTACAACGGAAACCCTAAGACATCAAGCACTCCGACCCCAAACCCCAGGCCAGATCATGAAGAGCTAATGCTTGGCCAAACATCCGAGCACATCCTGTTCTAGACCCAAGAGAAACCTAGGAATAAAAAGGGTGCCCTTTTTTGATTTAAAGGGGTTATAAGGGAACCTAAACTGTAAAAAAGGGAATAAGGGCCTACTCTGGGTCCTAGTGTTTGGGGTTGCAATGAGGCCTTCTTTTGGGGTTTAGGGTTGTCTGGTATCATGGGGAACTAAAGGTTAACCTTTTTGGTTATATAGGGATTATATAGGGACTATACTACCCAAAAAGGTTAGAGGTTACCTAATGTTTATCCTCGGCCAGAGTCCGACGATTCGCAGTCGCTCGAGTGTGTAGTCACCCTAATGCCCATGTGCCCAAACAGTACATACCTTGGCCCTAAAATACCCATTATGGCGACTACCTTAAGGCCAAAATATTGATGCATGACACATGGGCACTTGGACCCTTGAGTTTAGGAGATTCGGTGGCAACCCTGAACCCCTTGACCCTGAGGTAGTTCGAGTTTAGTATTCAAGACTTCGATGGTTGGAAAGAAAATACTCGAAAGTGGGATCTGGGGCTTCAGGTGATACAACCGACCAGGGGTACCCAACCCGGAGCCTGGTTGGTTCAGGGCCCCAGGATTTTCACATCTTTGGGGTCCCAGCCAGCAGGTTACAGGGAACTCCAGAAAGTTGGAATATGGTTTCATGGTAGGATACCCTATAATTTACCATAGAAGGGTTAGGATAATCATATTCCAACTTTCTGGCATTTTACCTTAAGGTTTTAGGGGGTCCGGGCGTTTGGGGCTTAGGACTAGTTACACTGAGTCTGATTTCGGGGCCTGGAAAACAAAACTTGTTCTCTGGGCTGGTTGGGCAAGATACAGTACCTAGTTGCACATACCCTACCCCTTTTTGGGGATATCTAGGTTTTACGATTAGGATCTGCTATATAGAAAAGTAGATACCCAAACAAAGAGGTAGGGTACGAGGATACATTAAAGCATTAGCCAACACGGATCTGGAATGCAAATGCTCATAACTCAGGTCCCTCTACCAAGTCCCCGAGACCCTGAGCCCTAACCTTGTTCAGGCCTCAACCCTGAAAAAGACTGAGGGTGGAGCTGAGGCAAATCTCAACCGATTGTTGGGCCCAGCGCTGGGGCAGACTTTCGGCCTACCCAGACCCTTAGTTAACTATAACACCTTTTGTCATGGTGTGTTGGTTACTTTCTTACGATAGAATCGTAACAATACAATAGATGATCCGAGAAAAAAGTACTACATCTAAGGGTCTAGGTAGGGCGTAGTGTAGGGTGGAAGGGCTTCGGGCCATGGCTCTAGAGTGCACGATGAGGTCTACGTGCTTCTTTCCTCCAAGCTTTGGGGCTTTCGGGCTTAGGTTTTAGGGACTTTTACAGAAATCCTCTTCGAATAGTCTGTTGCAGCACAGAGTCGTGAGGGCGACGGGATTCGAACTATAGTGTGGATAAAGTACTTGGGCATTCCATGTGCGTTCTTACGAAGATACCCCAGTGAGTGTGAAACTGTGTGTGTGTGTGTGTGTGCTCGTTTAGGCCTGGTATTAAGGGCCTATGGACAGTTACAGGCTTTAGGAGTATCTGTTCGCTGAAATCCTAATCATGTGCCAGGCATTTCCGTCTTATGGAGCAAAATGCTGTCATCGGCGGCGGCGGCGGTGTAGGGCAAGGTGTACTACTACACGATGCTGTTTACTAGGTGCATGCTCAGAATTCTTACAGCATGGCTTATCGAGGATGAACTCACGGTGTTGTCCCTACCCTGTCCCTCAACCCTCAACACTAAACTGCTCGGGATCCTCAGTGCTACACCCTGAATGATGGACCCTGAATCCTAGCTTCGAGCCCCAGACCCAAAACATTTGTTTAGGTTAAACCTTATGCTCTAAACTTCGAACCCTAAACTTTGAACTGCCGAGTCCTGGCTCCAATGATCTTCAACCCCAGAGCATTTAACGTTTGAACTCGGTCTTCTATGCAGCGTTTGGGGTTTAGGGGTTTAGGGGTTTCGAGGTTCAGGAATTTCGAGTCTAGCCTTTAGGGGTTGAGGGTTTGGGGGGTTGGGATCTCGGGGTGCAGGTCATCTAGCGTGAAGGATCAAGCTCAAAAGAAGAACCTTCAGCTTTTAGGAAGAAGTGCAGCTTAGTTGCTGAGTTCATACGCCCCGAAAAGTGCACACTTTCAGTTCTATAGTGTGTAGTATTACCCAAAAAAGTGTAAAGTGTATCCACTCAGCTACCAGGGTAAGGTCCAGGAGCGCTGCGGCAGTTGGTGGATGTTGGTTTTATGTGTTCCAAGGTTCAGGAGTTGGGGCCATGTAAGGGGGCTTTGCCGGGAGTCTCACAGCAGGTGTGCATACTGGTGGAAGCTGCGGTATGGAAGACAATCCAATAAATAAAGCCCTAACGAAAGTCCAAACACGGAAACCCCTCAACCCTAAACATGTGATATCCTAAAGCCAACATCGAAGTGAGCTGCCCTCACAAGACAGCTTCATGTGGTGGTTGCAAAGATTATTGGCCAAGGCATCCGACAGTGCAATAAACAGCGCATACTCCTAGAGGCTCCATATCTAGTACCATTGTGGAATTAGGTCCCTAAAGCCCTGATAAGGATGGTCTTTGGGGGCCTAATTCCATAATAGTACTATGTGGGGCCTCTGGGACTGCGAATTTGATGGCCGGCCATGAATCTAGACCACAGCCCCTGTGTAGTGTGCCCGTGTCCCGCGCGTAGGAATGCCTATCCCCAGTGCCATTTTGGTTCGACATCGCGGCCTAACACCGCAAACTCTAAAAGCCCGAACGAAAAAGTGCAGCGAGTGCATGCAAATGTAGCAATATCGACGCACACCTTTTCCAGAAGCATGGGTAAACTAAGCGTCCCCACATGCCCTTGCAGTGGGAATAATAATCATTGGTCCAGAAGGTCCTAACATGTGCTTCCGCCTCAAAAGTCTCGTTCTCCTTCGCTACAGTCTAAAGCCGAATCCAAACCCCGAAGGTCTCAATTCCTGAGGTCGCAGCGTTCAGCAATTGAGTGTATAGGTTTAGCGTTTGCAAGGGGCTTCTTCAAGGGCTCCTGGTAATCCAATATTATGATTATCATCATGAATGCTATTACTATTATTGCTACTATGCTTTATCATTATTGTGATTACTACTTTCGTTATTTCTCCTATTCCGAG